GATTTGGGGAATTTGGTCTGGAAAGGTTGTTTAGCACGCTGAACATGGATATCATATTAACTTTGTACGGTAGCGTCTCCTCGAGTTACTGTGGGTATGCGGTAGATGGGTGAAAGTTCCAAATTTGCTTAAATCGTTGCCCGGAGAGGTTTCAATCACGCTGATAAGAACGCTTTATTATGGAGTTATGGCAACTTGCAGCGTTTGGGTGAGCATCTAACCGCTTTTCAGACCAATTATGATCCCGGAAATCCACGAGAGGCTTTTAAGCGAAATGAGCGCGATGTTCGTGATGAGCCATCAGATAGCATCCCTGCCCAAAGTTTCAGGCAAGTCTACGGTTTTGACCCCTTATCGTATACCTACCGTAACTATACAACGAGACGTTTTCGCGTGGAAAAGGTGTGGTATTTGTGATCAGCATGTCCAATGACCCCCCTACGCAAAGTTTTAGCAAATTCTGAGATCCTGAACTCACACCGTACACCTACCGTAACCGCTCAAGAAGGCCCCACCATGCAAAGTAAATAACATTTTCGTGATCAGAGGTCGAATAACCACTCTTGGTAAATTTTCACTTGGCACACATATACTTCGGGGCAGGGAGCGTGTCATAGGCTACTTTTCGTTATCGATCGATATCGATTTTATCGATTTTTTGCAAAATTTGAGCTAGGGGGCTAGGATTTTGCACAGGGGGGTAGCTAGCTAGCTACCCCCTGTGCAAAACTAGCTCAAATTTTGCAAAAAATCGGTAAAATCGACATCGATCGATAACGAAAAGTAGACTATGACACGCTCCCTGCCCCGAAGTGTATGTGTGCAAAGTTTGGTCCCGGGCGGAGCCGGGTTTGCCATCTAGTAAAGTAAAAAGTAGAAGACTAATTGAGTAAACATGCATTCCCACTGCCAAAGAAAGCTTCCTATTAGAGATTCTTTCAGGATGTTCTTGGTGAAGTTCTTCAGTTCGTGACAATACTAAGAAAATGTGCAGCAAGAACCCTTTGGTCATAGTCATAAATGTGACCTAGTACATTTCGTTTGGTTTTGAAAAGAAGCGATCACTTGGTTTCAGATTGGAAAGTAATGGGTATTAAGTTGAGCACAAAACTTATTGAAAATTCGCGATCTTTTGAATCCCCAGCAATGTTTGGTCTGATATAAAAGAGTAGGAAAATCTTGTGCTTTACAAGTGTTTATGTCACAAGTTTGTTGGCACAGCGCGTGTATAAGTAAATCTGAAAAAAAAAAGAACCACTGAAGAGCTTTCTTTTAAACGACTTCGGTCATTGAGACCGCTCAAACGCCTAATAATTTTTTTAACCAGTTTGGTTTTATGACGTGCAAAGATTAGACGAACAAAAATGTGCCTGCTCAGAAAATCCCGGTTTATAACAGTATGTAAGACAGCCAATATCTGCATCCGATACCTTGAAAACACATTTCGAAAAAGTAAAGCTAAAAATATTGCATGAATGTGCTCGACAATATGTATGAGATTGAAAAATAGCGAGACATGACTGTGTTCCAAAACCATAGGTTGCAGACTTTACTGATTTTCTGAGAGCTCATTTGAACTGCAATGGGAACATATTCGAAAGCAAATGAAGCTGTATCGAATACAGCCAAATTCCACGAATCTTCTGCGGGCAGCGCTCTTCTAAAGAAAGCGTACATACATTGGAAACGACTTACAAGGAAAGTGTCAGAAGTCGCAGTGGCCTTTTGACATGAGATATCTATCATTTGAAGCAGCTTAAAACGCTGATTTCAGAATAGCCTTTCTTAACTGCAGAACGAGTCTGGGTCGGGAGTTATGGGCACAAAAATTATCAAATTTTACCTTGTTCGGAGTACCCCGTGATCATGATGGTCGTTTAGATGCTTGTTTAGGCACTACAGCATAACGTTGAGGAAAGTAGAGTCACATTAAGCGTCGATAAACTGTCTCATCTACGTTCAAGCACAAAATGTATGGGCTTTGATAGTTTTGGTTACTCTCAGCGTTGTAAATTTCCCGCAAATAAAATTCGATAACTCCTGACCCAGATTCGTTTTGCAGCTAAAAAGAGTGTATTGGAACCAGCGTTTCAAGCTGCTCTAGATGATACCTATTTCATGTAATAGATGTAATAATATTTGGAAGTCGGAGCAGCCAACAGCCACTCCGACTTCTGACTCTTCCCGGGAGACGGTCAAGTACTATCTGTTTAAGATAACCAAATGCTGATTTTGGTGGCTTTTGCTGGAAACGGACCGAAATATTCAGAAATTTGTTTTTAACTGCGTTCTCATGGGTTTTTGACCTTTAAAATTGCTTTTTTAAGTTGATTCCAAGGTAGCAAGATTGTGGAACTATGCAGCCTATTATATATCCCTCAAAAATTTAGATACTTTTAGAATGTTATAAAACACTCATTATGTGCTATTTGGTGTCCATCTGGCAATAAAAATCGCGCCTCTTGACATACACCCACTCTTCCCATGTTAGTATTAGGGGTGCCCCAAAAAACATTGAACATGCGATTGTTTATTAGTCTCTTGTCTGATCAACATCTGCACGTTATAAATGATTCACTCCTCGCTCCTCATTACTGTAAGATTACGGTTGATACCTTCAGCCATGCCATCTTCACAAATCAGCGGCCACTTCAAAAAATCTCGAAAATGCCCAAAACTTTTGGGTGTAAATTAGATCCTCTAATTCTAGGGAATTTGCAAATTCTGTGACAAGTTCCAGCAATATAGTCGGATTATAAATCTCATTGGGGAAATCGCTACTTTATACACTTTGAATCATGCTGTAAAGCGGAAAGCACGAGATACATGTAGTCAGCAATTTATCATTTTAGTAACAAAAAATTTCAATTTAACTTATTATTTTGGTAACAAAAATTCCAGCTTCCTTTGGCAGTTGATTGGAACATATATACTCTTATCGGCACAGAACTCCCTCAACATTATTACTGTAATCAGAACAAATTATGAATAATATTATAGATCGGCGGCTCAAAAAATGAGATTGATTACCTACTTTTCTACTGTGAATCTAGATAAAAGCAGCAACACTTACGGCACTCCATTTCCTAGGCAATTATTCAGTAAAAAGAGGTATTAAATATGAAATGTTCAATATAAGAACCCTGTTACTTACGAAAACCATACAATATGATCTGGGACTCTTTCAGACATCAAGACGAATTCTTTGTAACTTCCAGAACAAAACTTGAAAGACAACCTAATCAAAAGTAAGAGCCCTGTTCCTATGTTCAAATTTACACGGAATATTGATGGAGCGCGTCCGGAAATTAGAACACGTTTTACTGTTAGAGCACAATTGGAACATTCATATATAACCATTAAAGAGAAACCGAATCAGATAGCAAAGCACTCGCTACGTCTCCTTTCTATTCTGTCTCTCTCTCCAAAAAAGCATATCTGCAGATGGTTAGTTAGAATCATTGTTAGTCCTTCTACTCTAGTACTGTAATTACATCGGCGGTCCATTCATTTCGGTAGGGAGTCCATATAGTCTACGCTACCTCCGATGCTTAAAGAAAAGGCGCTATTCCACATTAGTTGACTCAAAAAATGAAAATCGTGAATCTCGCTGAAACTTCGTCTAGGAAGGTTATTTGGTACGCTGAACACGGATATGATATTTATTTCGTGCGGCATCGCCATCTGGTGGAGTTACAGTATGATTACGGTAGGGGGTCAAAATCACGGATTTGCCCGAAACTTCGTCCAGAGGGGTTACTCGGCCCGCTGATGCTGAATGTCACATTGGTTTTGTACCGCAGCGTCATTTTCTCAGGCTACGGTGGGCATACGTAGGGGGTCAAAATCTCAAAATCCGCTGTAACTTCGCACAGAGGACTATTTGACATGCTGATTAGAAATGTCACACTTTCTCCGCACGAAAACGTCTCCCTGCATGGTTTAGGTATACGGTAGGGGGTCAAAATCACAAATCGGCAGATGTACCTTTTCCCTGTGCTTTGCTTAGGCAAAAGCCGCAGCAGGGTGTGTAGCGCACGGCGGTGGTCGTGTGTGCAAAGCTTCACGATCGTCCGAATCGCTGTACACTCATTTCAGGCAGAACTATGTTTTACACCCGCTACCGTAACCCGAGAAAATGAGGTTACGGTTTCAAAACCAATATGATATTTGGCATCAGCGGCCCGAATAACCCCTCTAGACGAAGTTTCTGGCAAGTCGGTGATTATGACCCCCTACCGTAGTCCTACCGTAACTCCACCGGATGGCGCTGTCGCACGAAATAAACATCATATTCGTGTTCAGTATACCAAATAATCCCTCTAGACGAAGTCTCGGGCAAATCCGTGATTTGAACCCTTACCGCAACCCCCGCTCCACCGGATGGCGCTGTCGCACAAAATAAACATAATATTCGTGTTCAGCATACAGTTCGTGTCTATCACGTGCTCCCTTGTCCGTAAGCGCAGTGAGTTTCGCGCCACGTTCGCGCGCGTATGGCTCGGGCATTCAAATTGGCCTTATCGATTGGCGGTCCGCGCGCAGGGCACTTGCGTTGCGCATGCGTAGGTCCCATGCGAAAGGGAGTACGTAATTGACATCGACTGTACAAAATAACCCCCTCCCTAGACGAAGTCTCGGCGAAATTCACGATTTTCATTTTTTGGATCAACTAAGGTGGAATAGGTAGGTGCCAGAGTAAGCGAATATTTTCTTCAGCTGCAAAAGGCGCACAGAATTAACGTCAATTCTGACGGAACCTGCAGCTGAAGCAGGCGCAGACATTATGCAGCAGACATTAATTCTGTGCGCCTTTTGCAGTAGCACCAAAGAAAACAGCCGTACGATACGGTGCAAGGCCGTATCCACACAAATAATTTTTCGTACGGCAGTTTCGTAAATTATCGAGAGGTTCTTGTATACAAGTTATAACTACTATTAATTAGAGCTTCTTTATATGTGTGTGTTGCTTCATTTGTAGCTTTTCCTTCATTAGCATGATTTTAGGCACAAACATTTGGATGGAGCAACTAGAGAGGCTATCATTAGTCTCTAAAGTATGCTCAGAGTTGGACAATCATTTCGGCATCAAAGAAAAGGATGTAGCTGAGTTTATCATTGACTTGGCCTCCGAAAATGATACATTTGACAAATTCAAAAGAGCATTGGAGGAGCAGGGTCTCGGAGAACAGGTATGCTTTGCTTTTGCCGTTTTTTCTAATTTTCGCAGTTGTTTATGCTTTACAGTTTGATGATTCTCTTACTGCAAATCTACTTCGCCTCATACAGCACATGCTTCCAAAAAAGAGTAAAAGCAAGAAAAATCCCTCACATAAAATCACGTTGATTTCTGATGCTAAGGAAGAGCTCAAGGTACGTGCCACTTTACGTCTTCACATTTTTTCACTTTTTATCCGCTTTTAAGGCAAGACTCCCTGCTCTTGCTATGCCAAATAGTAGCACCAATGACATGATGAGCCAGCTCGAAAACCTAGTTCCAAAATGGAAAGAAGAGGTCTGTTTGCCAAGATTTAGATTATTTGGTCATGTCTAAAAGTACGTGTTCAGCGAGAAGAAGTGATAGAAGACATCAAGCCCTCTAAGAGAGATTCTTCTACAGTCACATCTGAGAAGAAAAGGCGAAGAAGTCGTAGCAGAAGTCACGGCAGGCGTAGAGATCGTAGTAGAAGTAATGAGCGAAGCAGAGATCGACGAAGAGATTCTAGGAAGCGTTCTCGATCGCGGCAAGTATCTCCTAATTTGTCTCTGATTTTTCTCTATGCTTGAGCTAAAATTGTTATTATCTTATCGCTATCTCATGCGTCCGAATCATTTATGTAGCCTTCGCTTTCAAAATCTTACCTTGTAGACTTTTGAAATGAGTGGAGAAAGCTAGACTTATAAGATTAAGTATAGTGCAATACTTATCTTTACCAAGTGCCACTGCTTACTTTTTCTGATTGATCTGCTCGCATACAAGGTCACGCTTTGGCATCTAGCTGATTGAAATCCGACCACAACCTGAATGCATGGCTGTCAAACCCAGAAATGTAATTTGCAGCCGTAACAAATATTCCACTAAGCCAAATGAGATCTGGACCTGCGATCATTTTTTCTTTTTATCTTATACAGATGATATCCTTGCTGCACTGCAGTATCGGTCAGTATCTAAGCAGTCATCTGTCATTTTGCTTTTCAGATCGTTTTGGTATTTATTGCCTTGCTTTAGAAAATCATGTTCTTATTTCTTTGTCAGTTGTCCGTCGACTTGCTGGGTTCACCACCAAAATGATTCTGAGTATTTCATTATTTATCATTATTAGTATTATTTTGATTATTTCAGCTCTCATTCTCGGGATCGCGATGATAGAAGAGGGCGACATGATAGAGACAGAAGCAGAAGACGGCATGAGGACTCTAGAGATGGTAGAGATCGAAATCGCAGAGATCATGATGACAGACGGTCTGACAGAGGCTGGAAGAGAAAAGACCGCGATTATGATTCGAGAGATTTGCCAGATGCACCTGAAGTTGGGAACATCTACAATGGTCGGGTCATTAGCATTCAGTCCTTTGGAGCATTCATTCAGGTATGTATCTCTGCATTCAACTTACTTATTGTATTTGTGCATGAGAAGTGCGGCACTATTCCTTGTTCTTTATTGCATGGTTAGAGATCACAGTCAGAACACATCTAGCGAGATTGTTTTTTAGTCATGGCGAAAACGAGGGAAATCTTGATAAGCGGGACAAGAAACAAATCTATGTAGAAAAGAGGAAAGCGTCAAGTCCAAAGATGTTTACTAAGCATCATTAGTCAAGCTAGCCTATCATGTTCTTTTGTATGTTGCAACTCTGGGACCGGCCGCATTATATGAGTTCTTTGTGGCTGGAACACAAAAAACATCTTGATCGTTGAAAACCTTCTTTGGACGGTTCATGCAGTAGAAAGTTTTTAATGTATCACTTCTTACAATTTTCAAACCGTGCACCACTCCGCGCTGTACAACTTTCTTGGGATCACTATAGCGCAAGTTCAGCGAAGAACCTTTACGTAATCCTGTGCTGGCAATGAACGACCAGACTGCGCTAATTTTTTCGATGGGATTCTTCGCTGAAAAGACGTATGTGGACTCAAGGTTTATTTCTGTTTATTTCTCGAGAAGCACGAAGGGCGCGTCAATATGTAAGCAGTTATACGTTCCCCGCTCGATTTTCGATTTTCTTTATTTCCATTATTTCTTAATGTCTACGTATTTTCGAAAACTTTGCTAGTATTTACTGTTTTTACTTCAGCAATGAACCTTGAGTCTACATAAGCCACTTGACTTACTTGACACTTATCTCTTTTCATATTGTTATCTTTCGACGCATAATTTAATGTTTTTTACCTGTTTATAGTATTAGTGAGTAGTTGACTTGTTTCACATACTCCATCGTACACGAGGCAACAACCATACTCTTAGGGAACGGCCATAGGTTGTCGGTGTTGTCGGTGTTGCCGAGGTTTGCGGTCGTTGTAGGACCTCATGATAGCCTCCATGTTTCCCGCGCTCTCTAAATTGTCTCTGACCCCGACAACACCGACAACCTATGGCCGTTCCCTTATCCAAAATCCCAAGAAGTGTACTCAACATGCCAGATCTACCCAACATTTTGAGCGCTGCAATGCAGCGTTATACTCTCAAAATAGCTATGAGGAAGAACTGTGACAGCTTGCCTTGCATTCCATGAGACTTTTTCCAATCATTTCGATTAGAAGTTCGTTTGCAAATCTTCATGCCTACATCTCTTTTTCAGCTTGAGGGAATACGGCAACAAACTCAAGGTTTGTGCCACATCTCTCAGCTCAAGAACGAACGAGTGAATGCTGTTGCTGATGTGCTTAGCAGAGGTCAAAAAGTGAAAGTCAAAGTGAGTTAGAGCGTATTAGTCATGTGCTCGCTACCCTCGCATTTGAAGTTTAACGCCGTTATTCAACGACTGTGTGGTGATTTAGGTTTTGAAAATGGAAGGTGGGAAAGTGTCCCTGTCTTTGAAAGAGGTGGATCAGGAGACTGGAGAAGATCTCAATCCGCAGGAAGCTCCACTTCCTGTAGACGCTGTCGGAGTCAGTGATCTGCGAAATCCAGAAGCTCCATGGGTGAATCCTGAAAGCGCATCTGGCGTTAATGGAACCGTAGCTACAGGAACAAGGTATGCGATTTATTCCTGAGCCACATGCTGCTCCTCCATCAAATGTTTACCTTGTCAAGGATTTTAAGTCGTGAATTTTAGCAAGAGTCGTATACGGATGTCCACCCCGGAAAGGTGGGAGTGGCAGCAAATGATGGGTGCTGGTGTGGTCACCAATATGGATCGTCCAGATTTTGATGAAGAGGCTGGAGTCTTGAGAGGAGAAGAAGGTATCATGCTTCTGCCAGTTTCTATCTCAGACAATGAATATTTTCGAATTGTGCAATCTCACTATTCTAGAAGAAAGTGATGGCGAGGATTACGAAGTCGAAATTGTGGAAGACGAACCAGAATTTCTGCGTGGGTACGGCAAAGGAAATCAAGAAATTGAGCCTGTTAAAGTGGTAAAGAATCCTGACGGAAGCATGGCGCAAGCTGCTCTCATGCAGGTCCGTTATTGATTAGTGGACAGTGCATTTGTTGACTAATACTGCTTACCGTTTTATCTTTTTATGAATGTCTTTGTTAAGAGTGCTCTTTCCAAAGAACGAAGAGAGGCAAAGATTCAAGCGAATCGTGAGAAAGATGCCGAAAGGAGTAGCGGCTTGAAATCTGTCAGCACGCGCATACTCGATCCGATGCAAGAAAGAGATGTGGATAATACCGACGATAGAGGGCCTATGAGGCGCGACAGAGTACGCTAGTTTAAGATTTATGAATGATTCATTCTAGCACTTGAGCATCTTACAAATATTTAGGACATGCCGGAATGGATGAAACATGTCACAGCAGGAGGAAAGGCGACTTACGGCAAACGCACGAATTTGAGCATGAAAGAACAGCGCGAATCTTTGCCAATTTTCAGTTTGAAGAAAGCCCTGTTACAAGTAAGTATAGGTATTTGAATGATTTACTGCTTTGATTTCCCATTGTTCTAGGCCATGTCTGACAATCAAATACTCGTTGTGATTGGAGAAACTGGATCGGGTAAAACCACTCAAATAACGCAGTATGCTGTGGAAGCAGGATTCGCTCGTAAAGGACGGATAGGTTGCACCCAGCCTAGGTAAGTACAGCCTCAACTACTATGCTTGCTCAGGAGTAGAAGCTTTGTTCATTGTTTTCTTCTTCATCCATTTGCTTAGAACATTACTGATTACTAGTAGAGGTTTGTTTATTTACTTTTGTTACCTAGTGAACATTGCGATTTGTTTCAGACGTGTGGCCGCTATGTCTGTTGCAAAGAGAGTTGCCGAAGAGTTTGGCGCCAAGTTAGGTCAAGAAGTAGGATACACTATACGTTTCGAAGACTGCACTAGGTATCATTTTAGTTTCCCATCTATCACGTTTATCTACGGTTTTTCTCTCATTCATCGGAGAAACCTCTCTGATTTTTTGTACTTTGCAGTCAAGATACGATCATAAAATACATGACGGACGGAATGCTTCTACGTGAATGTCTTATTGATCCGGATCTCATGTCTTATTCGGTGATAATGCTCGACGAGGCTCACGAAAGAACGATAAACACGGATGTGTTGTTTGGTCTGCTCAAAGCTGCAGCAAAGAAACGACCTGATCTCAAACTTATCATCACCAGGTACGTTTATCTACTTTCTTGTCCGCCACTAAAGAAAATGTCCTTACAGTGCAACCCTGGACGCGGTAAAGTTCTCTGAGTATTTCTTCGAAGCCCCCATCTTCACGATTCCCGGTCGGACATTCCCTGTAGAAATTCTGTATACCAGGGAACCAGAAACTGACTACCTTGACGCTGCACACATCACGGTGATGCAGATTCATCTGACCGAACCTCCTGGAGACATTCTTGTATTCCTTACTGGACAGGTTCTGCACCATGACTCCATAACATCTGCCTAAGAGGAATTGTGAGAAGTAATTGGATTTTTTCAGGAGGAAATCGATACCTCATGTGAAGTTTTGTATGAACGAATGAAGGCCTTAGGTCCGGATGTACCTGAGCTAATCATATTGCCTGTGTATGGTGCCCTTCCGTCTGAAATGCAGACCCGGATTTTTGACCCAGCTCCACCAGGAAAACGAAAGGTAAGTGGCTCTGGAAACTGTTGTTTGTCTTGTTGTTGTGGACATGGCTTCTTTGCGCTGTTGCACCATAGATTCACCAATAGGAACTCGAAAAGGCGCCGTGAAGATTGAGAGATATATTACATGAGTTACAGGTCGTGATAGCAACAAACATTGCGGAAACTTCCTTGACCATTGATGGCATCTATTATGTAATTGATCCTGGTTTCGTCAAGCAGAAAATCTATAATCCAAAAAGTGGGATGGATTCTTTGGTATGTAGTATTATTTGTATTCTACTTCTCTGAATATTGTTTGCGTTGTCATGGCATCGTTTAGGTCGTGACGCCAATCAGTCAAGCAGCTGCAAAGCAGCGAGCTGGCCGTGCTGGAAGGACGGGACCTGGTAAATGCTATCGTCTCTATACGGAGAGAGCGTACAGGTATGTTTTCTTCTCAATTATCATTCCATACAATACACTAACTGGTTTTAGAGATGAGATGCTGCCGACTCCTGTACCTGAAATCCAGCGAACAAACTTGGCATCAACGTTATTGCAGTTGAAGGCTATGGGTATCAACAACCTCATCGATTTCGATTTCATGGACGCCCCTCCTTTGGATGCGATGATAACAGCTCTGCATCAGTTGCATACACTCTCCGCTTTGGACGGCGATGGGTTGTTGACGAAGCTGGGTCGACGGGTGAGTGATTTAGTTATCTCAGCTCATGCTAAATATCAATTCATGCCTCTTTGTATCAGCGAGAATATGAAATGCTTTAATTTAGATGGCTGAATTCCCCTTAGAACCAAATCTCGCGAAGTTGCTCATCATGTCGGTAGAATTGGGTTGCTCTGATGAAGTGCTTACTATTGTGTCAATGTTATCTGTGCAGAATGTTTTCTATCGGCCTAAGGTAATTATTCAGGATTTATGTTCGAGAATAGGTGCCCTCATTTCTTTTACTTATCATTCATTGTTCAGGAGAAACAAGAGCAAGCAGATCAGAAGAAGGCCAAGTTCCATCAACCAGAAGGCGACCATATGACGCTGCTTGCAGTTTATAATTCATGGAAGCATCATCACTTCAGTCAGCCTTGGTGTTTTGAGAATTACGTCCAGATCAGAACTTTGAAGAGAGCACAGGTAAATTTTATACGACAGGAAGTCGTTTATCTTGTTTGTTTTCCAAAGAAGTGTTATCTCTGTTAAGGATATTCGAAAACAATTGTTGGGTATAATGGATCGTCACAAGCTGGACCTTGTAAGTTGTGGTCGGGATGTACAGCGAATTCAGAAAGCAATCTGCTCCGGTTTCTTCAAAAACGCTGCAAAACGTGATCCGCAGGTATGCTTGTCACTGCACCGAATTACTCAAAAGTCCTATTGACTACTGCAGGATGGTTATCGTACTCTTGTGGATGGTCAGAACGTATTCATACATCCTTCATCAGCTTTGTTCCAAAATCAGCCTGAGTGGGTAGTGTACCACGAACTTGTGATGACTACGAAGGAGTACATGCGAGAGGTATGTATTTTGCTGTATTTTTATACATGATCATTTTAATTCACGGGCAACACAATGTACATTGCATTTCGTTCATTACTTTTCATCTACGTCAATGTGCACTACATTACATGTTACTGCGCTGTTCTGAATTCAAAAGAAGAATGTACGAAGTATAATGTTGTAGGTGACTGCCATAGACCCAAGGTGGCTGGTCGAATTTGCTCCATCTTTCTTCAAAATGGGCGATTCTACAAAATTGTCGGCTTTCAAAAAGAACCAAAAAATCGACCCACTGTTCGACAAGTATGCGGATGCCAATGCATGGAGAATTACTCGTGTCAAGAAGAAGATCTACAATCCAAATCGATAAGTATTGCACTGGGACCTCAATCCTGTCGATTATTTTTTTTTTCTATTGTTGTACTTGTACCTATCAGCTAGCTCTTGCATCAGGTTTTCCACAATTGGTGCATTCGTCTTCTTAGCTTAGAAAAGTTAGCTAACGTAACTTATAAACGTGATATCATCTACGCTGTCATGTTTTGTATATAATTGTTATGAATGTGATCCTCGCTGCCGATTATCTATTAGCGGGAATTCGCGCAGGCCAGTACATCTTCAATCTGTGTTCTCTGTTGATTGTTCAGCATGTAAAATCTGTTTGCATACGCTCGTTACTGACTTCTTTGATCCAGTCATACTGCTTATTTGCAGAAGAATAAAATATGCCTTTTATTCAGGTTTGGTTTTTTAATGCAAATCTAGGCATCTACGAACTATTAGGCTCCCGCCAGAGTGCCGAAGCCATGCCAGCGCTACGCCAGCGCCGAGCCAGCGTTTCGATCGATACACGTGTATTTCGTTGGGGCGGGGCTAGCTGACCTAGTTCTCAGCAGGTAGATGTCCCCAACGAAATACACGTGTATCGATCGAAACGCTGGCTCGGCGCTGTCGTAGCGCTGGCATGGCTTCGGCACTCTGGCGGGAGCCTTAGAGGCGCTATGGAATAGCGATTGGTACATGGTTTTCATTCTCCTGACACATTACGGGGGGGGGGGGGGGGGGGGAGAGAAGGGCGCGAAAATTGAAGTCATCAGGAACTGCTTACTAGACCATGTGTGGGAGCGTTCCCATTGTAAACACAACCGAGGTTCGTATAAGAGGTAATGATGGAACAAAACTTGGTACCGGGACTTCTCAAGTGATTACGACTAGAAGGCTTGAAGGCACCGTCCACCCAGATTTTCGACTTCCAGATTTTAGTAGTTTCAGGGTCTTCTCATGTCCCTGATTCCGAATATGAAGTTAAGAACCCGCGAAAACTCCAATAATCCCAGTCGCAACGGTGATTGGATGGGACGCACAAATGGGCGGGCATGGATGGGGGTCCTCGTGCATCTTCGCTATTCCGAAGCAATTTTCTCGCTTCCGAAGCGGGCATACGCCGCGATTTGGGCATTAGATTAATAGGGGGCCCTACTACTATACTGCCAAAAGCTCAACACCCTCAACTTGGACAGTGCCTTTAAATCTCTATTGCCTGAGCGGCATCTCCCCAAAGATATCGCGTCTTGGTCATGCAGCAGCACACAGTCTTTTTTAACCCGGAGTAGGGGACCATTCCAAGTGGAGTAGCGTGTCCACACCGCCACTGGCTCATCGAGATAGTTCAGAATGAAAAGACGCATGAGACATGCTTTTACCACGCGGTGAATGCCCCGCAGTGATGTCCACTCAGACAATCTGTGCCATAGCTCCGGAGGACAGTCGAAATCGGCAGAGCTTCTTAACCATTGAGGAGGCGGGGCGAGGGGGCGCTCCCTTCTTGTGACGTCACGGTGACGTCACAAGAAGGCGGATGGGGCCCCTCCCGCGGGCTTGCAAATCTCTCCGAAGTTCCGCCAGATTTGGAGGAGCCCCGGAGCAGAGATTTGCGCTCCGGAGGTGCGCCAGATTTGGGACACCCCCGGAGCACAAAATGGGAGGTCCGGAGCACAAAATGGGAGGTCTCCAGAGCACAAAATGGGAGGTCTACAAAATGGGAGGGCTCCGGAGCACGAGTGGCAAACCCCCGCTGGGCAGACCTCGCGGCCCTGCCATTTCTGCTTCGGAGGTACAGGGCTTTTCAACCTGAGAGTCGCAAGTTCGCTTGCGCGGCTCCTCCAACGCGGCCGCCTCGCTCAGGCCGCGCGCGGCGTTTGCTGCATATCGCCTGGATTTCGCCAAGCTTCAGTCGACGCGCAGCCAGCGCCACGAACGCTGCGCGGACCTAAGCGTGGCGTCCTAGCGGGGCGGGTGGGACACTCAGGTTGTAAAGCCCTGTATGCCGCCGACTGTCTGAGCAGTCAACGAATCAACTATTCTCTTTTCGAGCTAGCGCGTGCTTGCTTACAGGAGAAAGTATGGAGTAAGTATGGTCGTGGGAACAGCGCTCCCAACGGACTGCACTATACCATGTCGTGCTGAGAAAGAGGTCTGCGTCTTCCATTTTCCTCAGTCTTTACTTGGCAAAATACCAGCAGTATGCGCTCGCGAAGACTCCAGCGGTGTGCACGCGCTGCTCCTTATGGAATGTTCCACCTAGGCAGGGATGAGACTGACTGTAACTTTATCGATAACACCGTAAAACTTTTTACCATTCAGGGAACGTATCCAAACCCAAATGGACAGAAACGGTTGTATTGCTTTCTAGTAGGGTTTACCTCCTTTTTACTCATATTGTGGTCATTGAAAATACTTGTGGGATTTCAAGTTAACCGGTACATTTCCGCTACAAATGTCTATATCGCTCGCTGCAGCGTGACTGAATTGTTTTATTTTAGCTTTGAACGTCTATTTAAATAACCAGTAACGAATGTAGGGGGAACACTACGCGAGAGTACTAGCACCGCTTGAACTGTGCTGACCGACTATGCTTACTGTATGGGAGGAAGAGTTCACGAATATCAATGGAGAGTCCAGCGAACACAGCCTGCGTCAATCACGTGTTCCCTTTTGCGTAAGCCCAATCTCCACGCAAGAGCTTCGCGCCAGCCTCGCGTATGGGCCCCAAGCATTCAAGCATTTGGCCTCATCTGGAGGTCCGCACACAAAGCTCTCGTGTTGCGTATGCGTGGTTCCTACGCGGAAGGGAGTACGTGTTTTACACCGGCTGTGAATGATTGCCCCCTCGCTCAAAGGAATCTCAGAGGCGGAAAACTTTCGGAAAGTGGAGCACTGCTGATTCTGCCCATCGACGTTATGGTTTAACGATGTGATGGGCTTCATTGTAATTAGAACTATCTAAAATCGTCTTCCAGACAAGATTTTCGATATTTTTGGACTCATATCTTGACCATCCGCGTTGATGGACGGTCATTAGTGTTATTCTGTTTCTGCGATTCTAATTTTAGTTCAGCTTTTGCAGCGGGAATCTGGAGACGCCCTTATTGTAGCGCCTATAAATCTCAGGATCGGGTGGATGGCACCTTCAAGGCTTGCTCACGCAGCTTAAGTTTTCTAGTCAAAAGCACAATGTCCCCCTCTCCGAACAGACCCAAGAACGCCATCCAGTCATCTTCCATCGACATTTAATTTAGGTCCGTATGATTCGTACATCCCCGCTGGGGAGGGGAGGGGATCTGAGAGGGGATGGGTCATATCTCGCTACTCTACTTATCTTTCTCCTTTTTTTCTCTATCTTCCTTATAAAGTTTTTCATACACTTATACCTGCTAATGGATGCCAGGTTACTTCCAACAAGATTGGTTTTTTTGCCATTTTGTGTGATCCCCTGGGGATCCACAGGGGATCACACAAAATGATCACCTCTCATTTTCAAAGTCATTTATCTTCCTGAAAAGTCAATGGAAACGCCGCAAAATTGTACTGAGGATATACCGGCACTGCAAATCATGTTTTCGACAGAAGAAATAGAATCTGAAGGTTGTGAGTTTTTCGATGATCCCTAGCTTTCGGGCCAGGGATTACCGAAGATTTCGATATCCTGAAATTTTACTTATTTCTATAAACATCTTTAGCAGTGCCGCAGTATATCCACAGTACAATTTCACGGCGTCTTCATTGAGTTTTCAGGAAGATAAATGGCACTGAAATTAACAATTGATCCCCTGGGGATCCCCAGATAGTAAAATTCTAATCAATTATGCCAGTAACCTGGCATCAATTATGCGCAGGTATTAGGGTATGAGAACCGTTTGCACGTCAGGAGGTACGCCGCGCGCGGCGGCCGCTCTTCCGCACCCGCGCTCAAATCTTGGGGCCTCCAAGAATCTCCGCCAATAGAGATTCCGGTGGCGAAAACAAGGGGTGAGGGTGGGGGCAGATACATGGCTTAATGCTATAAGTAAGACTGCGTCAGACGCGCTGCTGTTGTAAGAGCTGAAGTATAGTGCATTCGAAAAATCGTGACGATGGAGCGACCGCGCGCAACACGCACGCGTCTTCCGGCAAACGCATTTTCTTGGTTTTCATCGTTACTTGATTGGTTTTTCTGCTCACATATAATATTATTTACACAATGGAAGTGACTGAGTAGAGTTTTGAGGTGGTGCCTCTATAAGTGTTTTATGCTCCTGTGGGTGCAAAGACCGCAGTCAAATCCGTCGTCACGATTTTAACAATGATCTATACGTTGCTGCGTCGCTTCGCGAAAGATTCGCGCCAGTCGTACCTGACCGTCCCCCATGAGAACCTTCATAAGCAAGACAGAAAAGGAAGAAGAGAGATACCTAGAGTAGCGAGATATGACGCATCCCCTCTCAGATCCCCTCCCCTCCCCAGCGGGGATGTACGTGCATACGGGCCTTATTCTATCTCCTCTAAAGGGCCGGGCATACTTTACGCGATTTCAGCCGCGGCGCGACTTGGCATATTCCAACTGTCCATAACTCACTGAAAGCACATTTTAATTGTACAGAAGATAGGGAATTCAAACGATCCACGTAAGTTATACACACTATGCATGTGGAGTTTGCTATTGTTGGATCTGAAAACTTCTGGCGAATTGCAAAATCGCGTCGCGACTGAAATCGCGTGAAGTATGTCCGGCCCTCAACGTGGAGAGGATACTTGCTGACCGCGGCCTTTCGATATGTGACATATGTCATGATATTTCCCTGGAAGCGCTGATCTCAAAGCCGTATCATTTTTGGTTTTTGGTAGGTTTTGCGAAACATCGCTATTGGAACGGTGTTTCGCAAAAACCTTATTTCCCCTCATCTGGATTGTTTGCACAAGAATACGAGTAATTTTGGTGGGTGCTAAGGGTCTCGAATGGTCTAGTGGTTAGCACTGTCGACTATTGCACAATGGATGAACGTTTGATCTCGGCTATAGCCGAGATCAAACGTTCATCAATCAAACGATCAAACGTTCATCAATCAAACGTTCAACGTTCACCACCTTGCGACTACGTCCTCGTGCAAATATTGGAAACACATTTACGTCAGTTAGCATTTGGGGCAGCCTAACCACTGCGTCGTACCTTACGCAAGTATCCTTTACGCTTATAACGTGTAAAAATTACGCTATAGTTTTTCTGCACTAAAAAATGTGAAAATTATACAGAATGCATAAATAATGATTGCGCACAAACTTAAACGTCTTTTTTGACTATGGTAGCCATGAACACGTATACCTGCCTGAAAAGCTGCAGAAGCTTAAATTAGTGGTACGCGGCTCGTGTGTTTGAAGGCACGCGGGCGGTACTGCTTGTCAACTGCGCGCCGCTCGTACTCGTGCACGCCGAATTACGCGCCGCTCGTATAGGGGGGACGCCGCTGATCCTGAAATTTGGATATTATGGTACGCCGCTTGTACGTTTGAAGGCACGCGGCTGGTCCTGCTTGTCAATTGCGCGCCGCTCGTACTGATACAGTCCGAATTGCGCACCGCTCGTACTCAAATCCGACTGTGTCGCGCCGCTCGTACGCTCGACAGGCGCGGGTCGTAGGAATCATTATTATTATTATTTATTACATAGGCTACCCTATGTTGACAAAACAGCAATATCAACAAAAAAAAGAACAAAACAGCAATATCAACAAAATATTCGAATGACAATGAACCAAAAGTGTTAGTAACAATAACATATCAAAACATCCTACTGCAGATTCATGGAGAAAGTAGATAGTCCTTCAGGACTGCTTTGAACTGTGAAAGCTTATAATGGAGCATTCCCTTCCTCATTAGTTTATCAAGATCACTGCATACTCTATTAACAAAAAACCTTCTTTTCACATTCCTTCTCGCTCTAGGCACCACTATCTTCATTGGCCCTCCTCTCGTTCTTGAGCGCCTCATTTGGAAAAAGTCCGAGGGATTGACCTGATACTCTTTAAACAAGATTTTGTGTGCTGTAATAAGGTCAAATACCCTTCTCCTGAAAGCTAAACTATTTAATCCAAAGTTTTTATTACGCCGATTGCCATCAACTATTTCATCATAGTCAAGCCCTTTGGTTCGGATCCATAGTTTTCTAGTAAAACTATTCTGCACTTTCTCAAGGGTCCGTATAGAGCTTACTTTCGTGGGATTGAATACTACCGTGCCGTACTCAAGTAGAGGTCTGATGTAGACTTTATAAGCTCTGATAAGGAGGGCTGGATCACTACTTGATAAAGCACGGAATAAGTTGTGTACGGCTGCATTGCCCTTCGCAGCAATAGTTTCACAATGTTTATCAAAGCTGAGATCGCTACAGACCAGAAAGCCGAGATCTCGAATCTCATCAACGTACTCCAGAATTTCTCCTTCTATTTGATACTGATAGTCCAAATCTTCAGGTCCAATGTGTAGAACTTTTGTTTTTTCACGAGAGATTGGCAAGTTCCATGTTTTCGACCATTCAAAAACGATATTTAGAGCTTCTTGCAGCGTAGCCTTATCTGCCATTGTTGTGATTGTTTTATAGATTTTGAAATCATCAGCAAAACTACAACAGGACACTCCTGCTCTGGAAACAAGAGCAGGAAGTTCATGAGTATAGATGTTAAAGAGTATTGGAGATAGTACGCCTCCCTGCGGCACGCCACTAGACATCATTCTGAAGCGAGAGAACGTCTTATTAACGTGAACCGAAAATTTGCGATTGGATAAAAAAGCGGAGATCCAGGAAACAAAAATAGGATGGATACCAACTTGTTTGAGTTTGATTGCAAGTTTTTATGTGAAACCTTGTCAAAAGCTTTCGTGAAATCAAGATAAACAACATGAATACTTTGCCCAGAATCCAAGGAATGGGTCCAATCATTTAGCGCATACAACATACAAGTAACGGTGGATCTGCCCTCTTGGAAACCATGTTGGGCAGTGGGAATTATATTTTGTTTTTGTAGATGATTAACTATCTGTTTTTTGATTAGTTTTTCAAAAAGTCTCGAAAAAATCGATGTTATGCTCACAGGTCGATAATTGGATAGGCATGTATAGGGTTTCTTCTTTGGTATAGGAGTTACGAAAGAGATCTTCCATCGTTCAGGAATTTCAGATTTCATTAAGCTCAAATTGAATATGTATTGGAGTGGTTTAGAGATTACATGGGCCGCCGCTTTGATGAAATGCAGCGGAATGCCATCCGGTGTGAGCGACCTAGATGGAGGCCACTTCCGAAGCACCTCAAAGATTTCAAAGTCATTGAAATATCGTATATCTTTCATCTCCGCATAGTCAGGTGGCAAGGAACTTGTATCAATGTGTACTGAATCCTGTTCAAAAACTCTTTCAAAGCCATCAGCAAAACCTTCAGCTTTGTCAAGGTCTGAAGTCATGGTATCCCCCGTGTCGGATATGATCACACCCATTTTTTTCCTTTCTTTAATTCTACCGTTGAGCAAGCGAAAGAATGCGGTCCTATCTCCCTCTTTAACTGTCTTATTTTCTAAGTAGGTATTATATTTCTTAAGTCTTTTTTCAAACCTGGCGTTTACCCTTTTGAAAGCAAGCAAATCCTCTGCTTGGCCAGTAGCTACAAATCTAAACCAGGCCGACTCGCGAGCTCTAAACAGTCTTTCAATGTGGACTGGTAATTTAGGTCCACTTGATGGGACAGCCTTTAGCGGAATGAAAAGAGTGATTGCATGTTGGATTGTAAAAATCAATAGTTCGTACATTTCATTAACCGTTGTGACTACTCCAAATGATCCAATCCAATCAATAGACTCGAGATATCTAATGGCTGCCTCAACATATTCGGTTTTATAATCCCTTTTCAAAACAATATCACCAACGGGACCACTTACATAACGTATGTAAAAACTAAGTAACA